GGGTCACACAGGTCTTCACCGGACACGGAAATTTCAGAATCACGCACATCGGGTCCTAATGGCGTAAGTGCGGTCCCTAGGAGGAAAATCAGCTGGAGAAGCAGGAGGGCTCGCTCGTTGTGGCTAAATTGTCCATTCTGCGTACGCCCGTAGGCGCTGCTGGATTTTTCTATCGCCATTTTCGAGGCGGTTCCGGTGACGGTAGGTAGCAGTTGTGGCGTATGCCCGCATGGGCGAGGTAGCCGGAGCTCGTCGCCTTCGCGGCGGCAACTTTTACAATAACTGTCTTAAACGGTCCCGCCGGGGTACCGGCCGATTCTCCGGAGTAAGGTCGCCCTCATAGAAGGGTCTGTTAGAGTTAACAAAGTATTTCCTCTCTACTCGTGGGATTAAAATGAGTTATGATAAAATGCCTAATATAGTTTTAAGTAAAAATATAAATAAAATTAAAAGAACTTTATTGACCACCACTGGCCAAGAGTAATAATTCTTTTATTGCAAGAGAAACAACGTTTCGACCCTAAATTGCGTCCTCTTTAGGCTACAAAAATTAATTACAATACAGTGTAAGTAAGAGACAAGGTTGAAAGTAATAACAAAATAAAACGTCTAATTTATAATTATAATATTATAATTTGTAATATCTATTGTTGTGTGCCCCGGGTAAGGCACAAGGAGTCGCGCTAAATTAGAATGAGGATCCGGGGCGTCAGGGCTTGAATCGGGATGATGAATGCACTTCACTTTTTCACTATTAAAGAATTTTTATTTGAATTAACTACTTGACGTTTTCTTTATTTCCACTAGTTAACTATGACTTCGTGAATCGCGCGCGCGACTGCGATAAGATGTTATAGATCGCACGCGGTTAGCGAGGTTACTCTAAATTAACGACTCGAGAGCGACTCCTGAACGCGTCTCCTGCTCCGTTTTTATAGTCTTGCTTTTTGGAAGTTCTTTGATCGGAAAGGGTGCCTGGCAACAGGTCAAGGACCTAGGTGCAAGCGAAGTAAATTCCAAGTCCTTCCGCTTTGCTTGCACATTGGGCAATTTCGGTTCTGCGTGTATCTCGCAGCGTATGCGTTTTTACGCGGTTAGTGCTAGTCGTCAAGCGGATGTAATATGAGTAATTATACCTTAATAGTTATATTTTTTAGAGATATAACACCATTATTTAATGTAGAATGGTAAAAACTATACGCTCGTGATGTTAATTTATAGTATAAGATCAAAATTTAAAAAACTTGACATAATATAATTAATATCCTAATGAAAAGTAGTACTCCTTTTGATAAGTAACGTTAGATTAACCGAACACAGATTAGCCAACAACAAGTCAAAAACATTGTTAAGAGAGAAATAAAAGTCGATTAAATAAGATAAAATAATCAACACAACTAAAATAATACAACTAAAACCTCCGTAAACAGAAAATAAAACGTATATACATAGTAAATAAAAGTGATATTAAAATGGAATTATTATAGGTAAAATATAAATAATATAATGCGTTACTAAGGACTAAAATAAATTAAGAATAGTGTCAGAAATCAAATTTAAATGTTCGTGTCCCTTTGCAAATTTATGGAATTTTTTTGTTTCTTAATAAAAATCATTTCACTTATTTCTTTCTTTTTTACGTTAGCTTTGTTATGTAGGATGGAAACATTAGTCCAAATCATGGTTAAGCGACACTCTATGTTTATTAATGACAGAATAATTAGTTTCATTCTCCAGTTTTTGGTCGAATTAAATGCATCTCATTATTTGTCGAAATTTGTCACTAACGATCAACAATTATTTGTAAAGAATTAGTTTTATGTTTTTTGATGTTAGAGTTATGTTTTTTTATGCGCGTATCCAGATGACGTTTGATTTTCCCAATATAACAGGAATTGCAATTATTACAAGAAGTATACAGTGGAACCTCTCTCAGTTGGATTGATGCGGAGACAAACCCGACTGCGAGAGGTATCCAATAGCATGCTAGAAAGCGGTCACGATGGACTTAGCCTCTTTCCTTCTCTGTCTTCGACACAGTGCCGTGCAGTGCTCAAGTATGGAGGACGGAATCCTTACATATTTTACGAAATGAGTGTATATTTATAATTTTGTCGCATAGCAATTGCAAAAATAATGCGACATAAGCATGCGTATGTGATCACACAACATGTATATATTACCACATGCGCATCCTCATATCGCTGCCTTTTGTCCCGTGCATTGACAGATTTCCTAAACTCGTTATTTTGTTTCAGGACAATTTCATGCAAAAACGCGTCGATTAAACATTTACATAAATACAGTGAGATAGACAAAGTCAAGAAAAAATACCGGCGATTAGAAATTTCTAAAAAAATAGCAATATTGAGTTGCTTGGAAAAAGGTGAATCCGTTGCAAAATTGGCAGCTAAGTACAACGTCGCACATTCTACGATATGGTTAATCAAAAAGAAGAAAAATGACCTTTATAAATATGCAAGTTTAGTAAAGGATAATGACGGTTCTTTAAAGAAAAAAGTAATAAACTATGTAGAACATCAGCTTCTGAATAAAGCGTTATTTATGTGGTTTCAACAACGGTGTTTACTAGAAGAACCAATCTCGGGTCCACTTCTAAAAAAAAAGCAATTATCCTCAATCAAAAATTGAATGGCCCTGATCACTTCAAAGGAAGTAACGGTTAGCTATGGAGGTGAAAAATTTATGTCTATTACGTATATATTATTTATATATTATGTACATAAATATGTATATATACATATTTATGTACATAATATATAAATAATATAATATAAATATAAATAATATATAAAATACATAAATATGTATGTATACATATGTATGTATACATATTTATGTATATATTATGACAGATTTAAACAACGACATGATATTCGCGAGCTCAGCGTTCAAAAAGAAAGTCTGTTTAGTGATAACGAAGTTGCACAATTATTTTTTGCACAGTTTTCTGCGGAAATGAAAGAAGAAGAATACGACTCTAAAAATATATACAATGCGGACGAGAGTAGTTTGTTATGGAAAAATTTGCCAAGGAAAACTCTCGCAAGTCGTTCAGAGCAAACTGCCCCGGGACGAAAAGTACTAAAAGATCGAGTGACTTTCATGCTATGTACAAATGCCACAGGATCGCACAAGCTCAAAATTATGGTTATCGGAAAATACAAACAGCCTTGCTGCTTCAAAAACGTGACTAATTTACCAGTTTTTTATAAAAATCAGAAGAGTAGCTGGATGGACGTCGAAATTTTCGAACAGTGGTTCCTAGAGTGTTTCATACCAAAAGTGGAAAAGGAACACAAACGTATGAAAAGAGAAGGAAAAGTCATACTTTTTGTTGACAATGCTCCATGTCATAAACTTTCAGCTCGATGTATTACAGAGAATCCGCATTTTGTCATCAATTTTTTTCCTCCGAATGTAACAGCAATCATTCAGCCAATGGATCAAGGCGTCATTGAAAAATTGAAAAGAATGTAAGTAGTGATATAAGACTGGTTCTAACTCTGGGCCTCTGAGCGGGGTGCGGGGCGAGGGGATATCCTAAGGGTGGGAGAATGACGTCACACTGGGCAGGGATTTATGACGTCAAGCTGGGCAGGGGTTTATGACTGCCCAAATTTAAAAAAGGGGCACTCCAATATTCATAAAATCCTTTTTTTAGTGCATTTTATTGTTCCGACATACGGAAGGGAATTGAGATTTTAGGGCCAACGTTGCGACGAACTGTCAAAATGTTATTTATAGGCGGTACGAGTGTAAAAGCGCTGACGTTCGGCAGCTTTGTATCCTCGCGAAAAATCTTCCATAAACGGAAGAGAAACATTTTCCTTTTTTTTTTTTTACAACACATCGGCGCCAACGTTCGGCTGCCTTACTCCTCCACACATAAAACGGCATGGGAAACTATTTTTTGGGATACACCAAATGCTAAAAAAGAATACAGAATTAGATGAAATATATATAAGGAGGATGAGAGCGCGTCAAGCCATAGTACGATTTTGAAAATGCATAGATGCAGTGGTGCAAAAGTTTAGTGATTACTTTCTTGCGTCAGTGGCATAATAGTGATTAAAAAGAAAAGAACATTGAAAACGCGGAGCATATTGAGCGCAATTTATTGGAGCGGTCCCACCAAATCGCCACCTTGGGCAAATTTTTAGAATGGTTGCAACAGTGCGACGAATTTATCGCACAGCTTGAAGAATGCAACCGTGTCAAGCGTCCGCGACTCTCAATCGGACATAGACAATCTATGGTGGCTACAATAGTGCGACTCGAGGGTGTAAAGGTACGCTTGCAGAGACAATATATGTGTATTGGTGGTGAATACAGTGGCGGTGGCAATATCGACGGCAACAATAACGTGCAAAGACTCGTTTGGCGCGAAATTGATACGGCGTTCGAGAGTCGTATACTGACCGGTGCAATAATTAATACAAACTACATCAAACCGCGACAATTTTTAGAAAATGCTAAAAACATTGTAATTGAGAATGTGCAAAATATGTTGCAGAGACACATCAGTGTGAAGGTGAACACTATATTTAATGGTGAGTTTGTATCTGATAACCGTGATAACCGTGCCAATAAAAGCGTCAATGCGATAAACTTTGAACTCTTTCGCACGTCTGATTTACGCGAGTGGTACGAGCGCCGCGTTATCGAGCCCACGCTAGCATCGCTAGAAGAGTTTCAGGAACGCGATAGCGGTTGGGCATTGTCGCGAATAATAGATTTAACTGTAAATATAAATAAATACAATCCAATGCGCGCGGGATGTCGTATCAAATTACCGCGAGAAATTGTGACAAAGAGAGCGGTGGTTAATGTGCAATCAGCGGACAATGCGTGTTTCGCATGGTCAGTGGTGGCCGCTCTTTACCCTGCTGAAAGAAACACGAGTCGAGAATCCTCTTATCCACATTACACAACAGTGCTGAATCTCCAGAACATTGAGTTTCCAGTGACTATAAATCAAATTAAAAAGTTTGAACTTGCAAACAACATCTCCGTGAATGTGTACAGCATCGAGAACAACATTGTCCCGCTACGTCTTTCAGAGAAAAAAAGACAGACACGTCAATTTGCTGTACGTGCAAGACGAAAACAGCGTTGGACATTTCGCTTGGATAAAGAATTTATCTCGACTTGTCAGTGCGCAACTGAGTAAAAAGAAATGTAGAAGATATATCTGTGATCGGTACGTATATATTTATTAAACTAAAATTTAAAAAATAATTTTAATTAAAATTATAATTTTTTATTTTACAGATGTTTACACTATTTCAATTCGGAAGACAAGTTGCAGACGCATACTGTAGACTGTGGAAAATTAAATGACTGCGCTATCCGATTACCGAGCGATAAGGACAAGTGGCTTAGCTTCAACAACTACAACAGAAAGGAGCGGCTTCCGTTTGTGGTGTACGCCGATTTGGAATGCGTTTTGAAAAAGATGGAACAAGAAAAAATATTTAACGTATAAGACGGGCAACAAGAGCCAAATCGCGGATGACAATGCGTTATCCTAACGAAACTAAATAATTTTTCGTTAGAATTAAATACCGGTGCACAAGGCACCAAATTTTTACTTGGACACGGCCAAGATTTTAAATATGAAATAATCTCATATTTTGAGATTTAATTTCAATACCCCTTTTAACCCCCCTACGGAAAATAAATAAATGAATGCAAGAGAAAAATATAGATCCGAAAATCGCTGAATCGGGAATCGAACCCGAGACCTTTCGCTTGCCGGGCGACTGCTTAATATATATAACAGAGAAAAGTATAGAATCGAAAGGATCTGAATAGCTCAGCTGGAAGAGCAGTCGCCCGGCAAGCGAAAGGTCTCGGGTTCGATTCCCGATTCAGCGATTTTCGGATCTATATTTTTCTCTTGCATTCATTTATTTATTTTCCGTAGGGGGGTTAAAAGGGGTATTGAAATTAAATCTCAAAATATGAGATTATTTCATATTTAAAATCTTGGCCGTGTCCAAGTAAAAATTTGGTGCCTTGTGCACCGGTATTTAATTCTAACGAAAAATTATTTAGTTTCGTTAGGATAACGCATTGTCATCCGCGATTTGGCTCTTGTTGCCCGTCTTATACGTTAAATTTATATTTATATTACAGAGCCTTGTTAAAACTCTTATAAAGAAAAAATATATCAGCATCATCAAGTATTTAGCCTAGCTTATTATGTACATTGCTCGTACGACAATTCATTATCTATATATAATTCCTGCCGTAGTGTCGATTGCGTGGCGTGGTTTGCCGAAGAACTAAAAAATTTAGCAATACGTGTAAAAAATATTTTAAGTACAAACGTCCCCATGGTAAATTTAACATCTGACGAGTGGGAAAAACTTCGCAGCGCAACGCATTGTCATATATGCGAAAAACTGTTTGAGCAAGACGATGCACGCGTTCGCGATCATTGCCATCTCACCGGATGGTACAGAGGTCCCGCACACTTAAATTGCAGTTTAAATTATAAATAATCTTTTTGTATTCCGATAGTTTTTCATAATCTGTCCGGTTACGACGCGCATTTCATTATCGAGGACTAAGCCACAGCGTTCAAAGGGGGAATCGAATTACTTCCAATAACGAAAGAAAAATACATTTCATTCTCGAAAACTGTTAAATTGACGCAAGACAACAATTCAAAAAATCATATTAAATTACGTTTCATAGACTCATATAAATTTCTCAGTGCTAGTCTTGACAAATTGGCATCTTTTCTGAATAAAGACAAATTCAAAATTTTACAATCACAGTTTCAAAATTTATCTAGTGAAAAATTCAATCTTTTGACACGGAAAGGCGTCTTTCCATATAAATATATAGACTGTATCGACAAATTGCAAGATGCATGTTTACCACCGCGCGAATCATTTTACAGTTCTTTAATCGATGAAAAAGTATCCGAGAGTGATTATGCGCACGCCGAGAACGTATGGAACCGATTCTCCCTTCGAACGCTAGGTGAATATAGTGATTTATATTTAATAATTAATGTCTTGTTATTGGCAGACATATTTGAAAATTTTCGCGACAGTTGCATAAAGAGTTATGGGCTTGACTCTACGTATTACTATACTCTTCCGGGATATACATGGGACGCCATGTTAAAATATACAAATATAAAATTAAAATTATTTATAGACATTGTTCGCGAGCGGACTTGAAGCGTGAGTGAAGCGCAGAGAGGAGAGAAAATTTTGTTGGAGATAGATCGGGCGACACTATAAATAAATAGAGTCGGTTTCTAGAGAACTTGCACTTTTATTGATAGAACTCGAATAAAACAAGCGATAATCACAATTATTTCGATTCCGGATTTTATAATTATTATGTCCCGACGCCTTTCACTTGCGAAAATCGTATAAGAATTCAAATCGATGTCCAAATAATAGCCGTGTCCGTAATAATTTTCGCGTTTAAAGATTCTCGGTTATTTTGTCGTTTGTCGAAAGGCGACTGACTGACCGCGCTCGACTTTGCGCCTTATAATGACATTGATCCTTTTAGAAAGATCCGGCGGGAAAACAACTCCGACAACAAATTCTGTTATTAGAGTCTTTCTAGAAGGAACGAAAAGGTATGTTTAAAACAAATATTTTTCACGGCTGGCGGTACACATTGGCCCGAACGGACGCGTTCGCTGGCCGTGGCGTGGCGGCTTAGTGACAGCCGTCTCTCTCTTTCCCGCTAGCGCGTATCGGCTCGCAGCTAGAGCGGGAAAGAGAGAGAGACACTATTTAGCGCTTCTTTTCTGATTTCGCGCTAATCATAACAGACATTGACATGGTTATGTTTATCGAACGGGGTATACGCGGCGGTCTTAGTCAATGTTCAGGTATACGCACATGCTAATAACAAGTACATGCAATCGTACGACTCATCGAAACCGTCATCCTACCTCATGTACTTAGATGTAAATAATTTGTACGGATGGGCAATGTGTCAACCATTGCCGTATGCCGATTTTTGATGGGTCGACGATGTATCGAATTTCGACATCTCATCTATCGCACTCGATTCGCCTACAGGTTATATCCTCGAGGTAGATTTAGAATATCCACAACATCTTCATGATGCACACATTGATCTACCGTTTTGTCCGACACGCGACAAGCCGCCCGGCAAACGGGAGTATAAGCTAAGAATATCACGCAACGCTTTACGATAAGAAGCGTTACGTGATACACTACCACAACTTGCAGCAGTGCACGCGTCACGGGCTTCGCGTTACAAAAATATACTGCATACTACAATTTACTCAATCAGCATGGCTTAAAAATTATATCGAACTTAATACAGAGTTTAAAACACAAGCGAAAAATAATTTTGAAAAAAATTTATATAAATTAATGAATAATGCGGTATTTGGCAAAACGATGAAAAATGTGCGTAATCATGTGGATGTAAAATTATTAACAAAGTGGGACGGACGATACGGCGCAGAGGCAATGATCGCGAAACCAAATTTTCATAGTACAAGCATATTTTCGGAAAAGTTGGTTGCCATAGAATTACGAAAGGTAAAACTATATAAACCAATCTATGTCGGCATGTGCATACTCGACATATCGAAAGTATGTCTTTATGAATTTCATCATGAATACATGTCACCGCTCTATCGTGACAAATGCCGGGTAATGTACACCAACACAGACAGTTTAATATACCACATTGAATGTGAAAACGTCTATGAAAAGTGAAGTGTTATGCTGAAAATTTTGGAACAAAAAGAAATAATTTAGAAATAAATAAATAAAACAAACTTTTATGCCTAAAAGAGATACTATAACGTCGTCAGTAAGAATTTCCCAACCAGGATCATTATGATTAAACCACGCCATCGTATCTTCCTCATCGCATTCTTCACAGCCATGTATGTTATGAAGCATTGTTAAAGTTTCAGCAACATCATTCGCTCGAGATAAAGAATTTTTTTTGCTTGTAGATAGTGCAATTAACAGTTTCTACGCATTTCAGATGTTTTCTGCTGTTACTGTTTCCCATGCAATTGCAATCATATCACAACAATCTTTGAATGTCAATTGCTTAATCAACTGGATAACAAAAGATTTTTTTAGTACTTTCTTTTCAATTTTTCAATAACGCCTTGATCCATTGGCTGACTGATTGTTGTTACATTCGAAAGAAAAAATTGATGACAAAATGCGGATTCTCTGTAATACATCGAGCTGAAAGTTTATGACATGGAGTATTGTCAACAAAAAGTATGACTTTTCCTTCTCTTTTCATACGTTTGTGTTCCTTTTCCACTTCCGGTATGAAACACTCTAGGAACCACTGTTCGAAAATTTCGGCGTCCATCCAGTACTCTTCTGATTTTTATAAAAAAACTGGTAAATTAGTCACGTTTTTAAAGCAGCGAGGCTGTTTGTATTTTCCGATAACCATAATTTTGAGCTTGTGCGATTCTGTAGCATTTGTACATAGCATGAAAGTCACTCGATCTTTTAGTACTTTTCGTCCCGGGGCAGTTTGCTCTGAACGACTTGCGAGAGTTTTCCTTGGCAAATTTTTCCATAACAAACTACTCTTGTCCGCATTGTATATATTTTCAGGGTCGTATCCTTCTTCTTTCATTTCCACAGAAAACTGTTTAAAAAATAATTGTGCAACTTCGTTATCACTAGACAGACTTTCTCCTTGAACGCTGAGCTCGCGAATACCATGTCGTTGTTTAAATCTGTCATAATATATACATAAATATGTATGTATACATACATATTTATGTACATAATATATAAATAATATATACATAATTTTATGTACATAATATATAAATAATATATACGTAATAGACATAAATTTTTCACCTCCATAGCTAACCGTTACTTCCTTTGAAGTGATCAGGGCCATAAACGCCGTTGTTGAAACCACATAAATAACGCTTTATCCAGAAGCTGATGTTCAACATAGTTTATTACTTTTTTTCTTTAAAAAACCGTCATTATCCTTTACTAAACTTGCATATTTATAAAGGTCATTTTTCTTCTTTTTGATTAACCATATCGTAGAATGTGCGACGTTGTACTCAGCTGCCAATTTTGCAACGGATTCACCTTTTTCCAAGCAACTCAATATTGCTATTTTTTTAGAAATTTCTAATCGCCGGTATTTTTTCTTGACTTTGTCTATCTCACTGTATTTATGTAAATGCTCAATCGACGCGTTTTTGCATGAAATTGTCCTGAAATAAAATAACGAGTTTAGGAAATCTGTCAATGCACGGGACGAAAGTCAGCGATATGAGGATGCGCATGTGGTAATATATACATGTTGTGTGATCACATACGCATGCTTATGTCGCATTATTTTTGCAATTGCTATGCGACAAAATTATAAATATACACTCACTTCGTAAAATATGTAAGGATTCCGTTCTCCATGCTTGAGCACTGCACGGCACTGTGTCGAAGACAGAGAAGGAAAGAGGCTAAGTCCATTG